TTTGACTTGCGTTCTGCGACGCGTTTCCTTTGCCCTTGTGTAAGTGTGCTGGACAAGGCCGAAAAAAAACAGATCACCGAAGTTATACGCAGAACCTCGCCATGGCGGCGGATCTCCGCAATCATGAGTTCCGGGTCATGCGCACCGCGCAGGCTGCCTGGGCTTCGCAAGCTGATAGTAAAGGCATGATCACGTCAACCCTCAATGTGCCAAACCTTTGACTGTGGGCTGTTCCCCTGAATTCTGCAAAGGCTCCAGTGATTTCATTCATCAGCCCTGTCAATGCGTAGCATTGGTAGGTTTGTTGGCCCAGTGGCCCAGGCATTGACGCCGCCCTTCAAACATCCCAAGCGCATCATGGGGTATTTTGGCCCTGACATTTGTTCGACAACTTGCAACTTGTGTCAGCCTGGTGTGTTGTGGAACCTTCTGAGCCGGTCAGTTTCTGAGGAGTGCGCCTGCAAAGGTGCGCTCGACATACGACCCTGCTAGCCGTCTCTGCGTCAAGTTGCGGACCGTGCAGGACGAACCTGAGTTTCGGGGCAGCTGGGGCATGTTGCAATGCAACTTTGGAATGGGCTGATGGTGGAGCAAAGCACCCTGCCAGCGTCAGGAGGGCAATAGCGTCAAAGCGATAGCTGCCGCTTACCGGCGGCCAGATGGTGGCCTTTGTGTGCCCATCGACCCGCGAGGCCGGGCCGATTTCCGCTTCCACCGGAAGGCACATGAAGGCACTATTTGCGCCATGATTGGCATGTCATGCAAACCGCTGTGGGTTTGACCAGGTTTTATCGATGCCGAATTCCTGGAGAATTTTCCGTGGCCAGGCCTTCCGCTCATTTTGCAGAGCCCGCTTTGTGGAGTTGTGGGGGTTGTCAGCCCCATGCCACATGCCCCGTCCGTCAGCGCAGGATCAGACGGAGCCGCGCAGGTGAGCACAGCATTGCGAGGGCTGGGACGAGCCAAGCTCTGGGAGCTTTCTGTTTAGCCAGGGTTGGCTCAAATGCTAACAAGTATCCTTTGTGTGGGTAGCAAGTAGGTTGTGGTTGTGGTTGTGGTTGTGGTTGTGGTTGTGGTTGTGGTTGTGGTTGTGGTTGTGGTTGTGGTTGTGGTTGTGGTTGTGGTTGTGGTTGTGGTTGTGGTTGTGGTTGTGGTTGTGGTTTTTGTTGTTGTTGTTGTTGTTGTTGTTGTTGTTGTTGTTGTTGTTGTTGTTGTTGTTGTTGTTGTTGTTGTTGTTGTTGTTGTTGTTGTTGTTGTTGTTGTTGTTGTTGTTGCTTGTTGTTGTTGTTGTTGTTGTTGTTGTTGTTGTTGTTGTTGTTGTTGTTGTTGTTGTTGTTGTTGTTGTTGTTGTTGTTGTTGTTGTTGTTGTTGTTGTTGTTGTTGTTGTTGTTGTTGTTGTTGTTGTTGTTGTTGTTGTTGGTGGTGGTGGTGGTGGTGGTGGTGGTGGTTGGTTGTTGTTGGTCGTTGTTGGTTGTTGTTGGTTGTTGTTGGTCGTTGTTGGTCGTTGTTGGTTGTTGTTGGTTGTTGTTGGTTGTTGTTGGTTGTTGTTGGTTGTTGTTGGTTGTTGTTGGTTGTTGTTGGTTGTTGTTGGTTGTTGTTGGTTGTTGTTGGTTGTTGTTGGTTGTTGTTGGTTGTTGTTGGTTGTTGTTGGGTGTTGTTGGGTGTTGTTTGTTGTCGTTTTCGTTGTCGTTGTCGTTGTCGTTGTTGTTGTTGTTGTTGTTGTTGTTGTTGTTGTTGTTGTTGTTGTTGTTGTTGGTGGTGTTGTTGTTGGTGTTGTTGTTGTTGTTGTTGTTGTTGTTGTTGTTGTTGTTGTTGTTGTTGTTGTTGTTGTTGTTGTTGTTGTTGTTGTTGGTGTTGTTGGTGTTGTTGGTGTTGTTGGTGTTGTTGGTGTTGTTGGTGTTGTTGGTGTTGTTGGTGCTGTTGGTGCTGTTGGTGTTGTTGGTGTTGTTGGTGTTTATAAAACAGGTTAAACAACCAGGAAGAGTTAGCTATGTACTCAATCCGCGGTGCGCCTTTTTCTTGAGCCAGGCGCAGTCGGTGCAACAAGACTGCGCTAGTGAGACACTCATGCATTAGGGTTTAACATGGTTGATAAATACATCACGTTGCAAACTACACCCCGCGTGCCCGAATGTGAAACAGGAGGACAAATGAAAGGGATGAAACAACCAAAGAAACCCGAGAGGCATGAGGCCATTTTGCAGGACATAAGCACTTGAATACGAACGACTGCCAGTTAAGGTCTTCCGCCTCTACCGGCCATCGCTCTCGCGAGGCGTGCCCATGCCTGTACATTGATCCTCGGCCAACATAGATTGACACATATAAAGAATAGTGAGTTTGAAGTGTAATTGGATGTCAGCCGAAGATTGAAATGATTTTGAAGAGATCGCCCATTCACCCGCCAATCCCAATTGCGGGAGCTCTTCCACGGGCGCTGATCATCAGACCACCACGAGTCCCAGGATTGGCCCCAGCTTCCCCAACACGATTGGTTCCATTGCCGATCTTGCCATTGGCCACCGGTCTCCCGGAGCTGAGGAAAGGGCTTGCGCGTCACTCCGACAACTGCAGGGAGAGGAGTGGCTCGTCCATGGATTTGGATGCCGGGGATCTCCTCCTCAACGAAACAAAGCAATTCAACCAGGACTGTTTCGGGATCCCCAACCGATGAGAAATCCCGGCTCCAGCCCATGACCGGGTAGCGGTTGCTCTTGTCAAGGCTCCCGTACAACGCGGCAAATTGCTCGGTCTCCAGAAATCTACCTCCATGCGCAACGTACACGTCCTAGGGGTCAATTTCCTTGACGTTTTTGCTTGGCGGCACCAGCGTTAGCCGTGCGGAATACTTCGGCACAGCAACGCTTCCTTGAATCATTTCCTTTGTTCGTTCGAAACTCGGAATGATGCATCGTGCGACCTTCACGATAAACTCGAGGGCAGAGGGCGTCAGGTCTCCCCGCGCGGCAGTGTAGGCGTAAAAGGGGTCGTTGATCAGCCTCTCATACAAGGTATTGTACTCCTTGTTGCGAAGGACGGCTTTCTTTGCAATGTCCTTCATGATCCCAAGTCCCCCTCTCGCGCTCCGATCCCCCCTTGCATCTTTTCGCTGCGTCAAGATCTGGGTCTCAACCTGGTCCATCAGAAGCGGCACGCCCAAACTGTTGGCCATCTCTTGCAATCGGACGACTCTTGCGAACTTTTTGATCTCGGGCATGCGTTCGATGAGGTTGTCGCATTGATAGCAATTGATTGTGCCCTCAGGGATCATGATTTTGCAGCGTGAGCATTCGACATCGGGGATGTGCGTGACCTCCGCGAAGCGCCAGTTGGTCGACTTCTTGTTGGGGTCCAGGTCCTGCCAAAGTCCGCTTCGGCCACGGGTCTCCCCGGACTGCTGCTTTACCGCACGAGCCCATGTCCTGTAAAGACCATACCGAGCAGTCTCAAACTCAAGGGCGACCTGTTCCTCCTTGGAGAGGTTCTCGTCGTAGACGTCCCTGACCTTGGTCACGTTTCCGATCCGGTGAGGCCTCATCATGTCGCGGCAAGCAGTCGGGGCCCATTGCTTGTAGTAGAGTTTGCATTCATGGTCAACATTCGCCATGAACGACTCAAGCACCGGAGTCCCGCTCACGCCTCGCTGAGTCTCCTCACGGAATGTCTTGATGCTGTCTTGGTATTTCCTCCTCAGGCTCACGTACATGCGATTGGACCAGATGTACCTCGCGCACTCAGCATCATAGGCATAAATGATCACCTTGTTCGTGATCCAATCCTCGGTCACAAGGGCTTCCGTGTCTCCGGGTGCGAAAAGCCGACAGCCCAATTGGATCAGCATCTCGACATCGACGGCGATGTTGATGGGCCGATCAGCCCGCGCGCCCCCCGCCTTCCGGCCGTGCCTGTCCCAAGGAGGCACTACCGTTAGGTAGGCGTGACCACGTGAGGATTGCTTGTCGCCCATTCCACCAGGGAAGATGCCCATGTAAATGATGTCAAAGAAATTCTGCATGTTGCACGTATGGTAGGCGATTTTGGGCAGCGCCTTTCGGCGTGCGTCCGTGAAATCTTTGCAGAAGCCCGGTCGCACCCCTTTCTTTGCGTGCTCAATGGTGTAATTGACAGCCATGGCAATGGGTTCCCCAGGGATATTGTCGAAGCCACTTGCCTCGGTAACCCAGTCGTTATGCCCGGTGACGCTCGGATTCGCAGCGGCATGAAACTGAGTCCGTTCCACTGTTGTCCGGCCGGAGCGTACTCCACATAGACCTCGAACCTGGTTGACGTGCTCGCGGCCTGCAGCAGGGTGTACTGGGAACAGTTCCAGTCATACCGGCGTTGGATTGATTTGGCAACGGCTGCGTAATCGAAGGAATTGTCCTTGAGATTGATCTCAGGGATGGATCGTGTCGCATGTTCATGTGCATGTCCACGAACCAAATATGAGATCTTTTTGCTCAAGAAGGTTCTTCTGCCATAGTTCTGAATCTGGGGAATCTTGATTCCTGAGCATTTGATCCACTCCCTCTTTGGTTCGGTTGCCTGGCCACGGGTCTCCCCGGGCTTTCCAGCAGCTTTGGGGACTGCTTTCGCCTTGGGGATGATCTCCGGGCCACGGATCTCTCCGGGCTGAGTCTTGCCACTTCCAGCCACGGACGCCTGATCACTGGACGAGGCAGCCTGCTTCGGCATGGCTTTTGCCTTCATCTTCGGTGTTGCAGCACCGGCGGATGGGGTCATCTTGTTGTGACTTTTCCGCTTGGAGGTGAGGATGAGCTTGATTTGTCCGTCCTCACCAACATCATTCGGATCAACTGCGGCAACCTCAACGGCCTGGCCTTTCGGCCGGCTGACCTTCGGCTGATAGCCAGGAGGAAGGTCGAAGCTGATCACCTGATCCTCCTCGTCCGAAGAGGAAGACCAATCGATCACATCGTTGAGGCCGCTGACGGTCGCCGCGTGAATGTCAGGTTGCATCATATACAAGATCTTTGCTTCCTCCTTGACGGTGTCAAGGGGGTAGAGAGGGTTTGCCTCCTTTTCGGCCTCCAGGAAGACCTCGCTTCGGCTCTTGCGCGGCGATCTGGTTGACCGCCTCCAGTTCCCTTTCCCGGACCTCTCGGGGTTCTTCGCAGATGCCGGACCGCCAGTTTCCTGAGGTGATGCGCCAACGATCGGGATTGAAGTATCGATGTCCAGATACTCCCTCTCGAAGCGAAACCAGTTCATTGCCGTCTCAAACCTTGTGATCTGACCGATGGAGTAACCGAGCTTGGCAGCAGCTACAAAATAATTAATGTAGTGTTTCCTGTTGCGCTCATTGTCATCCGTGTGAACGCGGTCAGCTCGAGACGTGTTGGAAATGAGGGTCTGAGGATCTAGCACTGTGCGCAGGTCCGTGTCGGCCTCGTTCGTCAGCAGCTGGCAGATCTCATCAGCTCGAGTATCCCCACCAATCACCATCTCCTGTAGTTGGGACCAACGCTCCATGCCTGTCAGCTACCTTTTGGCTCGTCTACTGATCGAATTGAGTAAGTCTCTGCGGCGCGAGACGTCTGTGTCCTTATGACGGAGGCTAAGAAGCCTACCCTGCAGTGCAGCAGCTGGCCGCTCTGCACAACCTCAAGACAAAGGCCAACGCATCGACATTCTCGCACACCGAGAAGCGAGGATTGTGGGCCGTTTGCGGCGGACCTTTCTGATTCCCACCGAGAGTATGACAGCTGATCCGCTGACGAAACCTATGGTTTCTATTCCACTACAGCGGCTCCTCACAAGTGGCATCGTTACCTTCAAGAACGAGGCTAAGCATGTAATACTTGGCCGGAGACTTCCAAACATCATGGACTTTGATGAACATGATCTAGAAGAAGGAGATGGAGCCTTTATCGAGAAGGCTCTCTATGGCATCACCGCAGCTCTAGCTCT